TTTGATTCAGCCGCCTCCAAGATTTTGCTTAATACAATTATTCTTAGAAAAGCGGCCGCAATGCTTTTTGCAATGTTAACAAGTAATAACAAATATCTATTGGAATTAATTCAAACCATTGGAATCGTACAGTCATTGTTAACAAAAAAATTGTTTTCTTACTTTCACACCACATTAATTATAATTACAGTTTCTCGAATGCGGAAGTGCCGGGGGTCAAGGCGTAATGTAGGAATGTTTAATTGTTAAATATTTTAATAGGAAAAAACTAAAATAAAACGTGAATAACGCTGAACGTTACCGAGTATATACATAAGATTAGAGATAAGATATAAAAGATAAAAAAAGAGATAAAGGAATAAAGATAAGAGATTAGAGTTAAGATGCTGAGATGGTCCAGCTGGATGCTGGAGTTGAGGTAAGAGATTAGAGATAAAACATTCTCTATTAGAAAGTACCAGAGTCCCATGTAGTACATGTAGTACATGGATATGTATCCATGTTCCTATGTACTTCCGTGCAGCGGAGCTCATGTCCATTTTTATAATATACTGTTTCTTGGTATGTAATACAATTAAAAATAAAAATTGATTTTGAAAAAAAACATCAAAATATTAATTAATAGGCTAATTTTTTTTTTTGCTGTATGTTAAAAAGTGACGGCTGATTACGTTTGTAGCTTATATAAAGTAAAAATATTCGAGCTTACCAATATTTTCAGGTGGGTAGGTAGGTATATTAAATATACCATAATATTTAATATACCTACCGGCTACCACAGTGAACACAACCAATTGTTGATAAGGATACATTACTGTTTTGCATTTATTGTTCAAGATTATATTATACAGTATACTCGAGACTCTATTCCAGTACATATTGTAAATAATAACAATTTTTGCTCGTTAATAATAACTCTATTAATATAAAAACTTACACCAACTATAATTCTTTAGGTTATCATTTTTTAAAAAAAAGAAATGTATACCGAAATTTGAATATAAATAATTTTAATTTTTAGGTTTTGTAATTTTTGTTTAGTAAAAGACGAATCTCAGTCAATTAATATTATGTGTCTTAATATAATTATTGCGAATGTGTATAAGCAAAGTTAGTATTATCGACTATGGTATAAAATATATATTTGAACTATTACCGCAAACCATTTACTAGTGGTCGGGTTTTGATTTCTGTAATATTACAATTTCTATGCTGAACTCATTATAAATGTATACTCTTATTTTACATCTGAATGTCACTGAAAAATTATCGTTCTACAATATTATTATTTTTGTTTTTGATAGATTTATACAATAAATAATAATATAACAAATTTAATAAAACATATAACAATATAAATCCTAAACTTGTTTTCAACAATGTCAATTTTTTTTTATTAAATATTATTTACATCATGTTGATTGAGACTTACGCCATAAACCATAAATACATCAAAGTACTTAAAATTATTCTGATTCTGTCAAATTGATGTTTTTTTATTTAATTAACGCCGTCTGTATCAATACGTAGCTTTATTTTTACCTGCAAAACATATTTAAACTTTATATTGTAAGGAAAGCATCGAAATTCAGCATAGTGCTGACTTTCACTTCTCCAGTTGTTTCATAGTATTATATTTTATAGTAGGTAAACGAAAAAATTAATTAGAAAATTATGCTTTTGTTGCCGTGTTTGAAATGTTTTAGTAAAAACACCAAAACTTTCCAAAAAAGGTATATATAAGCAACTAATGTATTTTTATTTTTTTTTTGATAGTGTCCGCTGAAGGAAATAAAACCTTTGTTATGCATTAGACGATTTTAAAATTAAAAATAAGTAATAGTTTTCTATTAAATTATTTCCAATAAACAATAAAGAATAATATTTTCTAATAATTTTCTTCTCCTCTATTTATATAGTTATTCAAAATGATTATTTAAATAATTTTCGTGCTGTAATATTTTTTATTTGATAAAACAATTTAAAAAAAAAATAGTTTTTTTTGCGATTGACATATGTGGATTTCCACTATAACTTCTTACAAACTGCATGTCATACTAACCTAATAAGCAGTGTTGAGCAATGACTATTTTATAATTATCTAGATGGGATTATAGATGACACGTGGGTTTTTAGCATCGATGCGGAGCTAATAATATATTTTAACGATATGTTCTATTTCACAAACAAATAATACAGCATAATGGATATATTAATCTTAACCAATAAATTAATAAAAGTAGTATAATTTTTATAACACTTACCTATAATGTTATGTATCGTACTTGTTTGCAAGATCAAAAGAAGTTATAATAAAACATGTTTAATATGTAAGGTTGATTATATTGAGAATACTGTAATGTAGGTTTGTAAAGCTACGAATAAATTATGAACTCAAGCTTTATAAAATGTATTCTTTTTTCTATAATATAAAATAATATAATGTTAACGTAAAAAAAAAGACAGTCCAAACCAAGCACAGTTGACTCCATGTACAGTCTAAACCATAGATTTTTATAAAAGCGTTTACTTCAATGGATTTTTTTAGAAACTTGTATCTACTGACTACTTTTATTTTAGTTTATTATATTTTACTTTGTTAGCTTTATTGTACTAGCCAGTTGTCTTATAACTTACAAAATTGTGAAAGAAACTATTGTTATGGTACTGCCAGCTGTCTTGTGTGACCGGGTTTTCAATCTTTAAATATGATGTGCTATAATTTAGCGAAAAACTATCGGATTTAGTCGAAATTTGTATAGAAATATTTATTAGGCAATAGGCAAGCCTCTATTCACTAATTGCCCCAAACCCAATTTTCAAACATTCCTTGGTTTTTTATTTTTTCTGTAATTACTTGGATACTGGACCCCACTTTAGTTATTTCTTACTGTGCTGGTTTTGACAATACTTGGTTTATTGTAATTGCCTTATTTTCTGAAAATAGTATTTATATTTCCTAACCAGATGGCCTCTAATGGTGGTCCTACTCCATTATACTATCCTCTTATTATGTTGGTTTATAAACGAGACACTAGACGTACCTATTTATAGAACCGTCTGTCATATGCTAAATTAAGCTGTGTTGGATTCTTACTATTTCTAGTTCGTATTGAAGCATTTGATTGTAATAAAATCACATTCAGATTTTATAATTACTTTGACCCAACTTCGCTAATTTTTTCTATCCTGTTTATGCTGTATTTAGTTTGGTCTGTGCTAGTTTTTTTTTTTAGAAAAATCCTAAACATGTTATAAAAATATTTATTATTTGTATAAAGTCCTAAAACTTTACCTAAAAACAGAAAAAATAAAAACCATTTTCTACCCCTTCTAGTAGGAAGTGATAATGATATATATATATATATATATTTTTTTTTTTACTGCATTCAGACAGTATGTTACCTAAAGAATCGTCCGCTCCAATAGGGAGCGGACGATTATTATTCCATTATTTTTAAAAAAGTAATAGCATGTCATAGTTTTAAGTGGAAAATGTTTTTACATTTAAGGAGTTTTTATTAATTTTGAAGGAGAATATAATTATAATTGGGTAATATATTTAACAAAATACACAATAATAAATACTTTGGCTATTTAAAATCTATATTAGTTTTAGAAAAACAATGATCACTGAGTATTTGAATTTGGTTGTACTTCTTGTTTCATGATCTTGTACATTTATACAATTTAAAAAATAAAAAAACAGCTTTCAGCATACAAAAATAACATCGATAACGAAGTGTATAATATGTCTTATCCCTTTCAGACACCAGGATCAATGTCATGGATAAATAATCAGTGTTTTAGTTTTTGTCACGAATTATTATGTAATAAAGATAGAGCAGTGCAACCGACATCAAAACACGCCTCTTGGTATTTTTGAAAAAAACGTGATTACAATTAATTTTTAATATTATTATTATTATTTCTATACTAGTAAGAAAAAATAAATTGTGTTGCAAAAAATAAGTCGCCTTGTATGAAGTGGTAGGGATGTCGTCAAACTTCGACATAAGAGTAATCCTAACCAAGTTAGATTCGTTCTTAGCTTACTTGACTAATAAAAAGTAGTTTTTGTACATATCATAACATGAAGAGTAGTCAGAACTCAGAATTACATGTTACAGTAGGGTTTTCTTTAAATACTTGTTTGTGGTAAAAATAATTAAAAATAAAGTTAATATTTCAATAAAAGTTAAATGTTTTAGTTTAAATGATAATTTTAGAGGGTAAATTATAACAGATAAATAATCTATATTTGCTTTAGAAAACATAGTTCTTTCGTTAAAATGACTTTTTCGTGTTTTTTTCTAGCTAAGTAATTGTGTGGCATATTTTAAAAACAACCCATAAAACAGGGTTTCCAAACCTAATGATATAAATTATCCGTTTAACTTCTATAGAGTGAATCAAATAACAGACCAAACGGCAAATGAGACAAAATAAAAGTTAATAAAATTACCACAGATAGAATAAGGGATGCCGAATGAGTATACATGAACATATGTAAGAGATAGTTTGGAAGTTTTCCCAAAACCCAAGTAAAATGAGAGAGAATAGATCGATATACACTGGGACGATAGAGATGGGGGGGGGGGGGCAAAAAAAAGAGGGAAATATGTAACACTAAGGGCAAAAATCATTATAAAAAACCCAATCCACAATAAAATTTAACTATTAGACGAATGCGCGTTTTCTGCCAATCATCAATCTTCAGCCCCAGACTTGCTCGCTAGTCAAGCAAATTAGCAACCATGACTGAGGCAAAACTAAACTTATAAGTAGGGCACATGTCCTATACACTCCTAATGGGTTTACTACTTGTCCCAGCCTGGAGTTGCTCCCGCGACGGGGGGGTGCACGTGCATTGAGTTGTAGCTAACGAGCGGCCACCAACGGTGATAAGTCACGGCAAGGTTCCCGTGGACGTGGCGTCACCGTCGTCAGGCCAACGGTACGGCTATATAGCGTATAGGAAACTGGTCGAATCGGTTATTATCGCGTTGTCCGCCGGTAGTCCACCGCCATCGTTGCTCATACCGAATATTATACACGGCGGTATACACCCAGGAGCGCCGCGCCGCATCAACCAGTTTTCTCGACGGCCTGGCCGCGTTCACTCACGTTTCATCCGCACTCTGAACGCAAACGTCCCGCGCACACACACACACTAACGCCATAACATTTAGGATCGGTACAGTGTTATCAGAAACTTAACACCGTGCAACACATACACCGGCGTTCGAAATGATCAAATCAAATGGTAAGTTTAACATTACCTCATTGCTTGATGTATGTTTTAAACGTCCAAGTATTATGGCCGTCTAAGAGGATTAGATACTATAAACTTGAAATGTTCTAGTCCAGCGGTTCTCAACCTTTTTATATTTGCGTACCACCTACACAGTTCGAAAAATTTTACGTACCACCTGACTTGATAACCTTTTTTTTGCTTATTAAAGATGTATACGTTTATTTTATGTATAGAATTTTATATTATTAGTTAATTTGTTACTACAAAATGATGATAATATACGTATTTAATGCACAAAATTATTATTATTATTATGGTTTACTTCAATGAGACGGTTGGTGTTAACACATATTTGGGCGCCTGCTAAAAGGTTACTAATGATTCATACCAATTTTTTTTTTAAAGGAGATTTTCTTCGCGAACCACCTATGAGCTTTCCGAGTACCACTAGTGGTATGCGTACCACAGGTTGGGAAGCGCTGTTCTAGTCAATTGTGTATCGCCAATTTATTCACAGATTTGTTTTCTTGTTCAATAGTTTTATGTAGGTAGGTATTTGTTAAATATAACCTAAATAAGTATTTTCAGTAAAGTTTGAGTCAAAGTCAGCTCTTATCAATTTGTTTTGTTACTTATTATGAAGCAATACTCTCGTCGGCCCATTATCTTACCGGTTTAGCAAATGGAATGACTAGATATTGTACCAACAAGTCCTGGTTGTATAAACGGTATTTTTTATTTTTAGGTCTGTTTATACTGTAAAAAATAGCGTTCAAAACGTTTGTTATATTTGAGGCGTCTAAATTAAGTACCAGGTAAAAGCAATTTTTGAAAATGTTCACAAACAACAAATAATTTCTTCAGATAAGTGATTTTAAAATCAACCAAGATTTTACCAACACAGTTTGAGTTAGTTATAATTTTTATTTGTTATTCAATAATAGCTTTACGTACCATGTAATACAGTGTGGCCACTTTAAAAATTTATTTTTTGCTGGTTTTGAAATTAGACGCCTCATTTATCAATTATGATTGATAACAAACTTTGATATCAGTTTAAATACAAGTTCACTACCATATTACTTTATAATAAAAATACATAAATAATCCTTGTTTTTACCTACAACAATGATGAATAGATTTTTATTTTTTTTTCACATTCAGTTCAAACTGCTAAGCCCATCTCGATTTTTAAAATATAGTTATCTCTATGTAAATTAACGAACTGGAACAATATGTTTAAAACATTATTGTACCGTCTGAGTTTTAGGATTTGTTCGATTTCTAAAACATGTTAATATCATCGTGGTCTTTCGTATCGGTGTCCCATTAGCCAATTAGGTTTCAATAAACCGTTATTACTGTACGTTTGTTCTGTTATTTTTATTTAGATATACACAAATAAAACCAGTATTTATTTGTTGTCCAATTTGATTGGGTCAGTCGCTAACAGGATGTATCTAACATACGAGGTTAAACTGTATGCCATTAGTAACTTGACCAAGCCAGTTATTGAATTCACATATTTTGTCATGCACAATACAATTTGTCGTTAAAACGCTTTTTTTATGATCGTACGCTAATTACATTGTTCAGTAATCCGGTTTGTAAGAGTTTATACTCTACATTAAGTTTTATCAAAATAAATCTTATTTTAAACGCTAATACGGTTGAACCATTTACTTCAAAATGTCCAACACAATCGCAATGGTCTTAACAAAAACATGAGACTTTATGAAAAATATTTCAACTGTATTTGTCTTAAATAATTAAAATTCCTCATAAATATTGATCGGTTAATATTCATTAGTATAAATGTTAAAACAGTTTCGTTATCAATGGAGTACAATAAACGTGTACGTTGGTACATAGTACAAACTATTCTTTGTTTATTATCGGACGTCTGTATTTTTTAATGTAGGAATGACCTTAATATACATTGTCGGTGTTTTTAATAACTGGGTCGGTTGTGGTCTAGATAAAGCCATACTGTACAATAATAATAACATAACTAGGTGTAAAGTTGCTCATTCTTAATAGTATAAAAATGTGTACGCGCCCGATAAGGGACTATTAGGACATTGGGCCATAGCGTGTGGTTCGTTATTGTTTTCTTTTTGTCTTTTCATCTACAACAATCTAGTTAACGACCTAGACCTTGAATGGCCGTGTAATGATAGCAAGTGATGTTCCGTGTCGTTTAACGAAAAATAATTACGTATAATATAGTGTCAAATGTGTAATGTAAGCGTTATCGACGTTTGTCGGGCAGACGCGTTTGTTTAAAAACTAAAAAAAGTATTACGGAACAATTTGTTTTCGATTCGTCGGTGTCTTATGGATTTTGCACTTACTGTCCAAGGACATGTTCAACCGCAGTTGTTCGGGATTAGGTTATCTCATCTATAATCTACTGTAACAAATCACGCATAATGGTCGGTAAATATTGCTTGTATTTTTTTTTCTAAAATGTTTTCTACAAAGCAATTTTTGCTTTTCACTATTAATCTTCATTTTCATTATTACACGTTCATTTAAGAGCAACTGTTTTTCAAAATAACATCTGCTTCTGCCTTCTCCTTATCCTTAACGAACGTGGTCGACTAGCTAAATCCATTCTTTACACACATTTATTTGTTTATCCATTTTGTGCGTTATCCACTTGATCAGTTATTTTTTTTTAACACTCATCCACTTCTTTTTCGGCCAACTTTATTATAGTATATCTTACCTGTTTTATTATTTAAAGCTTTATTTAAAATGTATCAATTATCTCAATATCGATTCAAAATAATAGATAAAGCAAAAATGTTAGTTTTTCATTAACACAAGTCTTAAATCTTAGTATATTGCCGCTTATATATTTTATATAACATTATATTGTAGATACATGTTATATTATATTGCGTCCGTGACAGAAATACAAAATAAATTATTTGTCGCACTTCCGGCGATATCCAAGGCAGACCGATGGGTTGGAATAAAACATAAGGCGCTATCAGCTTTGTTCAATACATAATATTTCAATCAGCTTATTTTCCATTTAGGGTTATATAACACTTTGTAATTTATGAGTATACGACAGTGTATAATATTTTATTAATGACCCAATATAGTTATACCGTTTGATAGACGACTGACGCATGCAAAAGTCCCTCTAGGGAACTTTAGGACCGTTAAAAATAATTGTATATACTGAGTGATTCTAACCGACTAAGGTCTTCAGCAATACCCCAGGAGACACGCAAACGTTTACTACCTATTTCAATTTCTAATAAAAAATAATGCTGTAGGAGAGATGTGAGTTATTAGAATAATGAAGTTGATCTTAATTTGTGGACTTTTCAAAATCATTATTCGACGAATCATATTATTAAACCATAATTGGTGGTCACATAATATACCATGATTTTTGACCATTAAGATACAATTTTAATATTAAATTTAAAATGATATTGTTAAAACTCGACGATCTTCGGCCCATGCACTAGTCGCGTTAATAAACAACTATTCTACACAACTATAGTTTATTTTACAGTAGTATTGTAGTTTACTGTTTGTTTTACAGATTGTAAATAATAGATTTCTGTCAAATATAGACAAAAAAACTGAGTGAAGCATGGTCACTATTAATATTGTGGATTTTACGGACACCATTTCATACATATTTTTCATTAATAGTAAAAGAAACAACGGTTTATAATAATGCGTTCCTTGTGTGGTATATATTTTCCTTATGCGATAAATACATATTTCTCTAAGCAAAAATATATGCTCAGGTCAGTATGACTTACTATTTCGCTTTTAGTTAACGATCTAGGTAAATCATCTATATCGGTTTTGTGTTTCACGTTTATACATTACTAATTACAGGTGATCATATACTCAAACTAGATAGTTTTAACTTTTAACTACTGGTAAGTCAATGGAATATTTAATTATAATTTTACTACCTATTTATCTTGTTGACAGAACGTTTACCTTGGTATCATAAAATACAATTCTCGAAAGTTGTTTGATTTTAAAAGAAAATTCGGTCATTATTAAGTACCTATGATTGTTAATTATTATGGAGGCAAATGACCTAATTATAATTTATAATTAGGAAAGTAAAAACGCGAGACACAACAACAGATATAGATGACTTACTAGATCGTTAACTATAAGCGAAATAGTGAAATCATTTATGTTTATATATAATATAGTTTTATACAGGATGATGAATTTAACATAAGACACTCATTTTCTCGAATAGTAATGACAACTTTATAGTTTTTCTTTTTGAAAACCTATTTATTTATATTTTTTACTATATTATAAAATTACTAAATACTTTTAATACATACAATTGATGACATGATAAAGGGTGGAGTGTGGTATTGATTCTATCTCCGTGCGTTATTCAACCGCACTCCACCTACTGTCATACATTTTAAACTTTAATTACTTTAAAAGTAATTACCTGTCCAAAACTGGTTATGGGACTGTCAACATTTTCAGAAAATTGTTCTTAATTTAAAACGTTAATAAAATAATATGTACGTAACCTACCATTTGAGTTTCAAACGTTGATTGTGTTATGGAATATACTAAAAAAGGTGAATATTTGTTAGCCTTATAATTTTGTACAATAACATAATATATAAAAATGTTTTCAAAAAGAAAAACAAAAAAATTCTCATTACTTTTCAAGAAAATGAGTGTCTGGCGTTAAATTGATCACTCTGTATCTGTATGTTACATTAAAAACTTTTTAACAGAAAAATATTAGTTATTACACAACCTTGACGTTCAGGAATCATTATTGGATTTATTCTTTAGTATAATTTTAAAAGGAACTTGACCTTTATGCGCAGACTATATCCTATTGTAAAAAAGTTGTATTACACGTTTTTCTTTCTCTACTGAAATCATCTGTGCTGGAACCGAAGAGGCATGTCGACGGAATATTTTAAATTGACTGTCTGCTAACTAGTTTGGTTTTATTACTCAGCATGGAATTCTCGACA